ACATTAAAAAAAAAAAAACCGACTTTGGATGTTTATGTAATGATCCTCAGCCTTTTTTTATAACCAGTTGAACAATTCATGAATGTTTTTTTATTTACAAAAAATTCTAACAAAGTTTCATTGATACATCACCACAATGTCACTATCACAATTACTAAAATAACCTTTCATTTTAGCAAAACAATTACAAACAAAAAAAAAAGAGAGAGAAATCCTGAATATTCTCCTCCTTTCTTCTTACGATTTCTCTTTCTTTCTCATCGCCGGAATATCGATCGCGTCCTTCTCTTCTCGTCGTCGGTAGTCTCTCATCGCCGGAGGTAAGACGATTGATGCATAATGTTTTCTTCTTCTCTTCAGATTGGAATCCGAGAGAGTCTATCTTTGAGGTTATGTCTTATAGATTTGGTCAAAACTGAAAATTTTACTCGCTCTACGAATCTTGAGAATTTCCTTTGATGTTTCTATGATTATTAAGCCACTCACTCCAACAACAGTATACAAAAAGTCTCCAACTTTTCAATCTCATTCGATTGGTTAGAGAAAGTTTTGTTCAAATTTGTGAGCTCAGAAACTTGTTGTCAAAAGGCTTCCCATTTCTTGAATCCAAGTTTTCACAAATTTGGCCTTTTTTTTCCCTCTGAGGGTTTATATGTGAAGCTAAATTTGATGTTGCTCACTTCACTGCTCACATTACTTTGTGATGTTTAGGTTGATGGGTTCTGCAGCTAGACAGCCTCTCTTCTCTTTCGGTGTTATCGCTGATGTTCAGTATGCAGATATTCCAGATGGACGCTCGTTTTTAGGTGTCCCTAGGTACTACAGAAACAGCATTCTTGTTCTGCAAAAAGCTGTCGAAACTTGGAACCAACATGGAAACCTTAAATTTGTTATTAACATGGGAGATATTGTTGATGGATTTTGTCCCAAGGATCAATCTTTGGCTGCTACTAAGAAAATTGTACATGAGTTCGAGAAATTCAAAGGCCCGGTGTATCACATGATTGGCAATCACTGTCTGTATAATCTCCCCCGCGAAGAGTTGCTTCCGTTACTGAAGATCCCGGGGCGTGATGGCAATGCTTATTATGATTTTTCGCCAACCCCGGGGTATAGAGTTGTGGTATTAGATGGGTATGAAATCAGTGCTGTTGGGTGGCCACAAGACCATCCTAACACAATCGATGCTTTGAGAATACTCGAAGAAAAGAACCCAAACTCAGAAAAAAACAGCCCCGCGGGGCTTGAAGGTGTTGAGAGGAGATTTGTAAAGTTTAACGGTGCTGTTGGGGAGAAACAGCTGCAATGGCTAGACAATGTGCTTCAGGATGCAACGAAATCAAACCAGAAAGTTATCGTATGTGGGCATGTGCCTATGAGCCCTGGCGCGTCATCTAATGAAGCCTTGTTATGGAATTTTGATCAAGTGATGAGCATTATACACAAGTATGACTCTGTTAAAGTTTGTCTATCCGGACACGATCATAAAGGGGGATACTTTGTCGATTCTCATGGAGTTCACCATAGGTCCCTTGAAGCTGCCTTGGAATGCCCTCCAGGTACTTTTTCGTTTGGATATATTGATGTATATGAGAACAAGTTATCTCTTGTTGGCATTGATCGAATGCAAAGCACCCATTTTGAGAACTAAGAGTTCTCCTAATTGATAAAAAAATGTATCACACCAATCCATTTTTATATGATTGTTTTTTTTAATATGATAATTGGTTTTGAGGCCTTTGATGTTTCTCACTATACAATATTTTACCATCTCTCTTTATAGTTAGAGTTTGTGTTTGTGTTTTTGTTGAGAATGTACATCATAGGTTTCATTTTCTGTTTCAATCCAACATTACTTCTATTACCTTGGAAGATAAACTAACTTTAGATGTTTATGAGATACATGTAATGATCCTCAACTTTTTTTTTATTATCAATCCTCAACATTTTTATTACCAGTTGAACTACATGTTTTCATTTCATGAAATGAAAATATACTCCAATTGTCCTAAGTTTGAATGAATGGTTAAAGGAGGGAAGGAAGGGCTAAGTAATTAAAGGGAGAAAAAAGGAGAGAGAGAGAAAAGCATAAAGGATTATTAATACATTGAGCCCAAAGAAACAAGACTGATTTTAATTGCATGGAGAAAAGAGCTTCGAATTAGAAAAAGTTGGTATTATTACACAAGCTTTAAAACTAGCTTCCCCTTCAATTTATTTTTATTCTTTTTCATCATTTTCAATTTATTCTTTTTGAATAAACACTTTTTCCCTCTTTAGGAGAGGCTTCTTACTTCTTGATTAGGAATTTTTCTCAAAGCCAAACCAAAACAAACCTTCTTCTCTGCATATTTATTATTCTTTCTTGGACTTAGTTTTGGTAATCTTAGCATAATTACATCTTATATTTTATTTGCTGATGTGCTTACATAAATCCCCATCTATCTTTTAACTCTATTTTTTGTTCCAAAATTAATCATTTTCTTCTTATATTATAGCATTTAACTACACACACACACACACTAGATTGGTCTATGTGTATAGGTAAAGGCTGTCCATGTCAGGCAAAAGGGAATGTTCCAAAGATATCTCATTGCTCTTTGGTGATTCCATTCTGATAGGGACATTTTGTGTGAAGAACAATGCCAAAAAAGCAACACAAGACTGTACCTATGAAACTAATTTGTTTGTATGTATGTATCACTATTCACCTTATCCAATGAACATAGATTGTACATATATGTGTATCATGTATGTTAAAAATGAAAAAGATATGGAAATACAACAACAAAAAAGAGAGAGAGAGAGATATGCTTAGCTTCCCAAGAACAGAGTTCCAAGTGTAAACCTCTTTTTTGGTTCAAACTTGTCAGAAGAGAGATCTTCTAAAACTAGCCTTTATATATGCTTCCTTCTTAACAATCTTCTCTCTATCCCAA